TTGACATTTCTGTATACACTTCTTTATATCAAGTTCTTGTTTGACACATCTGTGAACACTTCTTTAAATCAAGATCTTGTTTGACATTTTTGTATACACTTCTTTGTATCAAGTTCTTGTTTGACATTTCTGTGTACACTTCTTTATATCAAGATCTTGTTTGACATTTCTGTAAACACTTCTTTATATCAAGTTCTTGTTTGACATTTTTGTATACACTTCTTTATTTCAAGTTCTTATTTGACATTTCTGTATACGAAAATTTTAATTAACTTTAATTAAATGAAATTGCTATTGCTAATCAAAAAAAAAATTTCTAATCCTTATACTTTTGCAACCTGATGTCGTGAACCATTTATATTTCAAACTTTCAATTATATTATTCAAATTGTCTCAGTTTTACATAGAACAGGTTTACTTTACGAGGGACATAGGGATTAGAACAGTAGAGTTTGTTACGAGTGTTGAGTTCCTATGTGATCATATAAATATTGCTATAGATATGTTCTATGCCAATACTTTTGAATTTCATAATATTTCCTTGCAATAGATTACAGATAGAATTCAATGCATTTTACTTTTTGCCGATACAAAACGTAGCACAACAATATATCTATACAGACGGATTAAAACATCAAGAAAATTACTCTTTCATTCAGATCCGCTCCAGCCTTTGATTAGCGGAGAAATCTCATCACTCCGTCCATGGCGTGGAAATTCAATTAATGTCAACTTGAAATTTAGATCGACCAGGATCCTCCCCCTTCAATACTCAACCCGGAGAACAATCTAAATTCTAGTTGAAGAGATCCGAACCTACAATTTATACACTCAATTTCTCCCCATCAGGTCATTGACAGAAGACAAAGGATGCAGATTCATTAAAATTCAGGCAGTTGGGTCCCGCCTGGGCAGTATAACCAGCCTATTGGTTGCCTGGTACTGATGCCCTGTCTCCAGCCGAGAGATACCATCTAACTCCAGAATGAAAGGGGTTTGTGTGAGAAGTATAGAGGGCCTAGAGGTTGAGAGAAGTAAGAATATTTGCCAAGAACGGAAAAGAAAGGGATTGGATGCAAAGAACGCGACCGTGGGTGGTAGGATGAAAGATGGGAAGGGATTGGATGCAAAGAACGCGCGTGTGGTGGTGGTGGGATGGGAGATGGGAAGGGATTAGATCCAAAGAACGTGTGGAGTGGTAGGATGGGAGATGGGAAGGGGTTGGATGCAAAGAACGTGTGAGGTGGTAGGATGGGAGATGGCAAGGGGTTGGATGCAAAGAACGTGTGAGGTGGTAGGATAGAAGATGGGAAGGGATTGGATGCAAAGAACGTGTGGGTTGTTAGGATGGGAGATGAGAAGGGATTGGATGCAAAGAACGTTTTCAGATGGTAGGATGGGAGACGGGGAGGGGTTGGATTATAAAAAACGCGCGTGTAGGGGCGGTTGGATGGAAGATGGGAGGGGATTTGATGCAAAGAACATGAGGGGTGGTAGGACGGGAGATGGGAGGGGATTTGATGCAAAGAACGTGTAGGGGTGGTTGGATGGGAGATGGGAAGGGTTGGATCATGGATGCAAAAACGTGTAGGGGTGGTAGGATTGAAGTTTTATATAAGTTCCTTGAGGCTTTATGTTGTAGAGACAATGAAGAATATCCTTATGGGGCGCCGTTGTGAATTAAACATGCCACTCATGGAAGGTTACTTGGAAATACCTCTACAGTCTACAGTCCCCTTGAATTATAATTATAAAGGAAAAAATATTAATTTGTATACGTGATTTATATCAATAAATATACACCTGGACAATAATAATGTAGAAGAATATAAAAGTAAGACATAAATATAGAAGGATGAATGGGCAGATGAACTAATTGCCCATGAGGGTACAATAATGTCAAATCCTGACACCAAATTATCCCTTTCTTTCCTTCCACTGTCCAAACTGTCATAACTTCCTCATCTCATCTAGCTCTACATCTACTCTCGATCTATATAGATATATAGATATATAGATATATAGATATTCTCTCTTATCCTTCTATCCTGTTTTTATACTTCTATACTTCTCATATTCTCCTTTTTATCAATCTATTCTTCTCTTTCATCCTTTTATCCTTCTTTTTTTACTTCTATACTTCTCATATTCTCCTTTTTATCTATCTATTCTTATTTTTCATCCTTTTATCCATCTTTTTGCTCTTATAAACTTCTCTATGCTTCTTTTTATCTATCTATTCTTATTTTTCATCCTTTTATCCATCTTTTTAATACTTATATACTTCTCATATTCTCCTTTTTATCCATCTATTCTTCTCTTCTATCCTTTTATCCATTTTTTATACTTCTATACTTCTCATGTTCTCCTTTTTATCCATCTATTCTTCTTTTTCATCCTTTTATCCATCTTTTTTATTCTTCTATACTTCTCTATCCTTCTTTTTATCCATATATTCTTCTTTTTCATCTTTTCATCCATCTTTTTTATACTTCTATCCTTCTCTTTCATTCTTCTATCCTTCTCTCTTATCCTTCTACCCTTTTTTATCCTTCTATTTTTCTCTTTTATCAATATATTTACCCTTCTCTTTTAACCTTCTTTCCTTCTCTTCTAATTCTTCGAATCCTTCTTTACTGTTTCTTCGAATCCTTCCATAACTTTTTTTCATTTTCAGACATTTTTATAAATGAAATTTTAAAAATATTTTTGCAGGTTATGGTGTTATAATTTAAGTGGATCAAGAAGTCATTATTCGTTTATAAACGTTTGAGGAAATCTTGATGTTAAGAGTAAAGAAGTTTTTAACGCAAACATAAATAAATACTAATATTGATGGAGGTTTTAGAGCTAAGAGAGGTGATAATGTCAATCTTTAAGTTAAAAACGTCGATTAGAAAAGGTCCGAATGTCACGATTAAAGGTCAAAATGTCAGGGTTAGATGGTAAAGGGTTGTGTTTCTCTGCCTACGTGTGGGTTTGTATCACAGTTCCATTTTACGGTTGATGAGAAGCGAGATATTTGAAAGAAACACGACACAAACTTGAAATAATTACTTTTAAATATATTTACTCTCAAACATATTGTTTTTATTTAACCCGTCATACTCAATTATACAAAACTAGGTTTTAACAGATGTTTTTTTTATCGCATATCTTTGGATACGTGTACAGTCTCCGTTTTATTATAGTAGGAAACAAAACAAAATTATAAAATTTTAAGTTTTTAAAACGACCCATTTTTATTTGCCGGTTACAATTTAAAAGGATAAATATTTTATTTTATGATAGAGATAGATTGGCGCTGCGGCTAGGATACGGCATGAAATCCTTCCAAATTATTTGCATACATTACTAAATACCCATATCAAAACATAGCTGTATAGTTTATACCTTCACGTATTAAGGCTGGCAGTAAACCATGTGAAAATTATTGTTGGATCCTTGAATACCACAATATCACATGATTGGTATATCCTGTGACACCCGGAGTAACCTCTCTATCATCTAACCGTCAATTCTGTCAACCCACATGTAATATTCATCAATTCCTCCTCGCAACATTACAATTTCCTCACCAATATTAAATTGATATGAGTTTAGGATTAAGTATTTGGTGTGAACTAAAGCCAAATTCACAATTTAAATAAAAATGATTTTTTACTGCATAGAGATTAGAGACATTTTTAGGGTACTTACTAGTTACTGGACACTGAAAATTAACTCTCAATATGCCATTCCTGTCAAGCTGTGGACAGTATAGGTGTTGGTTTAACAAGGAGATTGGATCTTATCCGACCAGATCTCTTGTAAACCCTCCTTGTCTTCTGTCAACAACCTGGAGAAGATTGTAAAACATTATCCGTCCCAACCTCAATCAGCCAGGATAATCAATTCCTAAACCAGGGGGAGGGGGGGGGGGGGGGAGCAAAATATTCAGTACTCCGGATAGCTTTTGCAAAAAATCAGTTTGATCATTGATGTAAGAGAAATAAGGAGTTGAAATAAGAATTTTACTCATATCAGGTTATTGTGCTGGTTATATTGTGTGCTTATCTCGACCCTGAGAAGGTTTGAAGGAAAGGGATGGGGGGGGGGGAGCTATAGCTTGATATTCGTGAACAAATCTCATATTTCTAATTTACAGAGGTCATACTACATAGTATCTTGGACAAATGTGTAATACAAACACTAATTTAATTTCAAATTAGCAGCCCCCCCCCCATCCCTTCTTATCTCGCCGATCCCACTTTCATACCCTCACTCTGAACGTACAAGGAGCACCCTGACTTACACTCCTCTCATGGATATCCGATTTCACCAAACCCTTTAATATGTCAGACTGACTGATCACCTCCCCCTGACCGGCCATATGTCTGTGTCGGTCAACGGGAACATGGAAGTCAATTAACCGGGTGACAAACAACAAATTGTTGGCTGTGGTCAGGAAATTGGAATCCGAAAATAATTGGTTGGACACCTGCAGATTAGGATATTATGCTCAAACAGAAAGTATATTGATGCAGTACCGATGAAAATAGATTTTCTCGATTGATTTTTAGAGAGAGAGGGGGGGGGAAGGAGAGGAGGAATTTTCAGAAAAAAAGAACAAAATTTCATATATAACATGATGAAGGAAAACAACAAAACTATTCTATATCTGATAATTCCAAACCACATTGATCATTTGTCAAAGTTCTCATCATACTCATACCAAAATGGATCGTTTTTCAAACCAGAAGTCGGTTGTGTGACCATGACTTGGTGGAAGGGGGTGGACGGTGGGTGGAGAGAAGGTGAAAGGTGGAAAAGGGAGCAAAGAGTTCAAACATCAAATCACAGATCGTGACATCCCTAAAATTGAATCAAATTCACACTCAACACTCAACCATTATTCACAAAATACAGTTTTTAATCGGAAAATGGTAAAATTGTAGTCTTTCATAAGAAAGTAAGTAAAATGTTTCAGGATATTTATGTTTGAAATGCGCGAAATAGTTACACAAAAATCCGCAATCTTTTTAAATTTGAAAAAAGCAATTGCTAGATATCAAAATGTCACTTTTACCAGGAACAAAAGCTCCAGGGTTTCAGACAATTTGTTTCGAAAATGGTGGATTCAGTGAGTTGGGTTCAAAGGACTTGGTCGGATCTTGGACCGTATTATTCTTTTATCCCATGGATTTCGGCCATATTGCTGCCAGTGAGATTCTGGAATTGGAAAAAGTGAGAAAAAATCTGCATCACCTCGGCTGCAGGTATGAATCACTATTATTTTGAGGGTTTTCTTTTTTTATATAAAGGAATTGAGTTTTTGCCACAACCTCAAATTTTCTAATTTCTATATCTCTGCAACCAGTTGGTATAAACCTTTGATATTTCAAACTTAGATTATATGATATAACAGAATTAATAGTTTGAAATATCTAATGTCTACGACATTTGGTTTCCAAGATATAGGAATAAGAATATTTGAGTTTGTGGCAAAAACTCAGTTCCTTTCATTCTAGGATTGTTTGTGTATCGCGAGACAGTGTAGTTGTGCATGAACAATTTGAAAGGCAACTTAGATCGCACGGCGGGGTGCATGGAATTTCATTTCCCCTTCTAGAAGATCTTTCTGAAGATATTTCAAGGTATACGATAGAACAAAATTGAGACTTATATGATTTTTTAACACGAACATAGTTGTTTTTAAAGTTTTGATTGACGAATTAGGAACACCTCCTTTTGACACTTTGGCATAAAGGTGCTGATTTTGGATATTTGTAAAAAGATGCAGCTTCTACTTTTCACGTTTTGACATGTAATTTCTGTATTTGCTGATGCCTAAATTAATTAAATGACCACTATTATTGAATGGTTACGTGGGCGGTTGCTGTTATAATTCGGGTTTGAACTGGATATCAAGACTCGATCAAATTCATTAATAGATTTTTGACCTTTTGGGTTGTTTGTATATAATGTAACATGCGAAAAAAGAAAAATGTTTAGTAACTACGGAATGCTAAAAGAAGAGGACGGATACACGTTCAGAGGATATTACATCTTGAACCCGGACGGGATTGTTAGAGCTAGAGTAGCAGCAGATCTACCAGTTGGTTTATACATTCCGGAGATTCTGAGACAGGTTGAGTTACTCGTCCAGAGGGAGAACAAGGAGCTGAACGATCATCATGTTTTGGAGAACGTTATTGAACCTTTAAAAAATTCGGCGGGTATTCTGGTGTCGGACAGTGTATACTATGCAAAGTATATTCTTTGCGGAGAAAACTATCCAATATATTCTACAGGTAACAAAACATTTTAGCACAATATATATAAATTTATATATTCTAGGAACCCAGCTTTTTCCGATAACTAACTTTTCCCTACTCAGTCTAGAACTTTTAAATTAGTCTACATTCTCGTGGTTCCAACGAGTTCCCCAATCAAAATTTGAGGGAAATCGGTCCAGAGCATAGTTTTAAGTTATGATAGGGCATCCAAACAAACAAACAGTTAACCAACAGAGATTACGTCTTAACATATTTCGATATACTCAATATGGAAAGGTATTTTTTTGTGTTTTCATTTTAAAAATTTTATATTCGATAAACCAACCTGTTTATGTTAACATTTTTCGGTTGGTCGCCTCTGGTAAAATGTTGATTTTCATTTTCATCAGTTTGACTTTTTACTCATGTAAAACTTCAAATTTTTCTTTTTCACAATTAGGGTTGATTTAGTATGGGACGATATTTGGGATTGGTTGAGTATGGGACGATGTTTGGGGTTGGTTGAGTATGTGAAATTGTTTGGGTTTGGTTGAGTATGGGACATTGTTTGGGTTTGGTCGAGAATAGTACATTGTTTGGGTTTGGTTGTGAATGGTTCATTGTTTGGGTTTGGTTAAGTATGGGACATTGTTTGGGATGGGTTGAGAATGGGCTTTCTTGAGTTTAGAAATTATTGACAGATTTTTATTCAAGGATTCAAACAGTCCCCGATTGATATTGCTGTTAGTTCGACGGAAGAAGATGATGAGATTTATCCTTTAAAGTTTAGTTATGCAAATCCTTGGAAGGAAGCAGCCATCCTTAAACTCAAGATTTTACCTACTAGAGTAGTAAACAAAGGTAAACTTACGCTCTCGCCAAACTTTTTTTTAAATATTAAAAAATATATTTCAGGGATAGGATGGGAGATCCCTTTAACAGATGGTTCCCAGTTTCATGTATTTGATGGTCCGTTCGGTACCTCGGAGTATAAACTATTCAAGGTGCATGCACACTGGGGAACCAGTGAACACTCTGTAGATGGAAAACTATACAGTGGTGAACTACACTTTCTTCATTACAATATCAGGTTATATCAATAGAAACATAAAAACCTTTTGTGATTTAGTTTTTTATTTAACGTGGATATTCAGGTATAAAGATCAAATGGATGCATTCAATCACAAGGGTGGATACGCTATTGTAGCAATCTTCCTTCAGGAGAACAATGAAACCTTCAACCATGAGCTGGAGAAGATTGCTGAGGTTCTACCGATGATAAGAGAGAGAGGAAAGGAAACTGAAACCTCTACTCCTGTAGATCTGGATAAACTACTCCCTGAGTCTACAGATTACTTTACTTACTCTGGAAGCTTAACCCAACCTGACTACAGGTATTCTTATATACAGAATAACTGGATAAAACAATGGGAACTATTAAAGGGTTTTACAAAGAGTAGTTAATCATATCAAATTCATTTACTAATTTACATCAGAAGATTTAAAATTTATAAATTCAAGTTTGCTTCTTAAACGGTTTCATTTTTTTCTCATATTAATAATTTTATTTTCCAGGGAGATAGTTACCTGGGTTGTCCTGATGAACCCTATAAATATCTCCTCATCAGCTCTAGCTGCTATGAAGACTATGAGCTACGGTAGTCTCCAGGATAGGTTGGTTATCAATACAGTCCGACCTAGATGTGAGAAGGGAACTAGAGTTGTTAGAAGATTCATCCAGGGAGACAAAAACTAGAAACCTAGCTTCCATACTTGGTGGTTGATAATAGGATTATACTGCATACAGAAGCACAATTATACTAAATTTAAAGTTCCATGTTTATGATTTGTTTCTAAAATAAATTTAGATGATAAGTAACTATTTTATCCTGGACATTTATTTTATTTTTCTAATCCAATCTATTCTTTAAAAAGAGATCGCGTATTTAACATGTTTTAACTTAAAACCAAAAAAAAAGTATAAGATGCTACAGAAGAAATATCCCACTTTTAGTTTTAAATAATGTTAAGGATTTGATAAAGATGAATCAATATTATGTTTGTGCCTCACTGCACAAGTAAACTGTATGTTTATTAGAATATATACTGGGATGGGTGGCAAAAACTAAATTGCTGTGAAATTGTCACACAGAGTCAATGCATCATCATTATCAGTCCCTGACAATTTTGCACACAAACATTACAAATAGTCGACTTGTAAACCCTTTGAGCATATCTATCTATCTTTCAACCGTAGCAAGATTTTATTCAAATACTCTGGTTACGTTTGCAAAACTACGATAGTAAAACTATATGTCATTTCCATTTAATATCTGATATGTTTCATAATTGTAGAGTGTAGGGTGTACACTGTACAGTATAAACCCTACACTACCCAATATAACTGTTATGTGATTATAGTAACGAATATTTGTGTTGTTATATCAGGAAGTTTCCAGGTCTATATCTTTCTAAACCTATCCATCATATATAAATAGTAGAATATACGCCTATTCAGAGACAATTCAATATTATCATGGGAACATTACAGGAGCTTACAGTATACTTAGATTTATAATGGCGGTGTTTTAAATCATGTTTTTAGTTCATTTCTTTTATCCAGATATACTTTATTCCTGAATTTTTGTGATATTGTCATTATTTCATTAATATTTTTAATATTCAAGTAAAAAATTTTCAATTTGAACAAAACCGGTAAGCTTAATTTTTCTGAATAGTTTTCATATAAAGATACTGGATGTTTTTGAAAAATCTCTGATTTTCTAATCCCTTTATGTTTGCAACCTGATGTCGAAGATCTTTTAATTTTAAATTTATGAATTCTGTTAGTTCAAATATTCTCATGTTAGGTTGCAAATATATAAGGATTAGACTATTTGCAGTTGTCGCAAAACTCCGCTTCTTTGTAAATCAATTATATGGTTTTAATTATAATTAGTGAAAGGATGGAAAAGTCATAATGATTTTTTGATGGTTAGTTTAAACAGTTAAAACGAAGAATTTGAATAGTTTTTAATAGAAAGTAAAACCATTTTTATGGATAGTTTAAACAGTTTTTATGGATAGTTTAACAGTTTTGTATGGATAATTCGAACAGTTCTGATGGATAGTTTGGATGGTTTTGGATGGATCCTAATCTTGACATTCTCCTAATCCTGTGTGTGACCAGCTGAATAGAGTAGACATATCCGTCCCGCCCTTCCTTCATGCACTCTTTATATCCTGCTCCATACACAACACATTCCTTCAAGATAATACTCGTCAAACATTTTTCATGCTCGGGTTTACTCACTTGGTTTGCCAACTCTCATCTTCAATCCAAACTACATCTTTACAATACCATACAAACCTTGGATAATGCCAGATCAAGAAAACTTAAAGAACTGATTAGAATAACATTACATCCAACAGATCATATTAGACTTAAAGCTTGAATCATACTAATATACTTGATGGTTGTGTCCAGGAAATTTGATGGGAAAAACCTTGATTTTCTCAAGCAAAGTTCTAACATAAAAAATATATCCTCTATCTCAAATATCTCTGTTAATTTAATGATTTCATAATCATTTGATTTTCTTAATTTGAATAGAAAGATTAGCAAAACATTTCGTCGAAAAATAAGTTTGTTTTCTCTTTTAAGTCCATAAAAGTGAATGTTCTTTAAAAACAAAACCTAGACTATCTGACGTTGTAGCTGAGTAGCTTTGTATTGTATAGTCTGCTTATTAAGTTTTGAAATTTAACAAACACAATCAAATACTAGTGCATACACACGTTCCTCCGTTCTCTCAAGGTCTTCTCCGCCCCCCCCCCCCTCTCCCACCCTACGCCTACTACCCCTTCATCCCTTTCTCTCCTTCTGCTCCGTCCCTCTGCATCATATGAAGCATTAAGTATGAAACCTGATCCAAGGAGGGGTTGATGAAACCTTGCAATATACACATCTCAGTGAAGGATACATATAATAGGTTCATAACACTGAACCTCGGATTTTTTCTTCTTCAAAGTTTAAACAAGCTAACTCAAGGAAAAAAGTTATAAAACAAAGTGTTATCTCAAGGAGTAACACTAATTTTGATCGATATGAATCAAAGCAGTAGTTAATGATTTATTCATCATCGAAACCGTCATATTTTCCAATACCGAGCCGTGTCATTTTTAATTTTTAAGTTTTGGACTAAAATCAGATATACATTGCAGACTGCAGAGTACACCTTATATATGCATGTAGAGCTCTGGGTAGACCAGAAACATTTATATTAAACTACAAACATAGAGCTAAAGTTACACCAGATAAACACATCTTAGGGTTCATAAGATATACACAGCTTAGGGTTCACCAGATATACACAGCTTAGGGTTCATCAGATATACACAGCTTAGGGTTCACCAGATATACACAGTTTAGGGTTCATCAGATATACGCAGCTCAGTCAAAGTAAAAATGCTTTTAATGAAACTTCCCGTCCTATACACAGTTTGTACAACTTGGGAAATGCAACTCGGAAAGTTGACAAGTAAATTTTAGAGGCTTTTTAGTCATCGAAAGAACTGTTTCCCCTCCCAAGCAAAAATGATTAAATTATTAATTAATTAATTGCGACGTTTAGTTGACGGAGTGACAGGAAGCTTGATAAACTGGTAGATAGAAGATATAGAAGAGTAAACACACTTTCTTAATTCCTTTCATTTCATTAATAAATCCAGGGGAGGATATACTTATTTCATTTCATTCTATTAATAAATCCAGGAGTGGACATTCTGAATTCCTTTCATTCTATTAATAAATCCAGGAGTGGATATTCTTATTTCCTTTCATTCTATTAATAAATCCAGGGGCAGACATTCTGAATTCCTTTTATTCTATTAATAAATCCAGGAGTGGATATTCTTATTTCCTTTCATTCTATTAATAAATCCAGGAGCGGACATTCTGAATTCCTTTCATTCTGTTAATAAATCCAGGAGTGGATATTCTTATTTCTTTTCGTTCTACTAATAAATCCAGGATTGGATATTCTTATTTCCTTTCATTCTATTAATAAATCCAGGAGTGGATATTCTTATTTCCTTTCGTTCTATTCATAAATCCAGGAGTGGATATTCTTATTTCCTTTCGTTCTAGTAATAAATCCAGGAGTGGATATTCTTATTTCCTTTCATTCTATTAATAAATCCAGGAGTGGATATTCTTATTTCCTTTCATTCTAGTAATAAATCCAGGAGTGGATATTCTTATTTCCTTTCGTTCTAATAAATCCAGGAGTGGATATTCTTATTTCCTTTCATTCTATTAATGAATCCAGGGCAGGATATTCTTATTTCCTTTCGTTCTATTAATAATTCCAGCTATGGCTATACTTATTTCGTTCCTTTCGTTCTATTAATAAATCCAGGGGCGGACATTCTGAATTCCTTTCATTCTATTAATAAATCCAGGAGTGGATATTCTTATTTCCTTTCGTTCTGTTAATAAATCCAAGAGTGGATATTCTTATTTCCTTTCGTTCTATTAATAAATCCAGGGGCGGACATTCTGAATTCCTTTAATTCTATTAATAAATCCAGGAGCAAATATTGTTACTTCCTTTTATTCGATTAATAAGAAAAAGTTGAAAGGATCAGTTTAGAATCGCTTATTTTAAAGGAACATATAAAATAACGTTTTCAATTTTTCTTGGTTACAAATTGGATGAAAAAAGACATTTTATAGTTTCCAGAAAGTAAGCTTGATATTGTAAATTTTAAAATTGTATATTTTGAAAGTTTTCAAGATAATCCTTTTTGTTTGGATAGAATTGATGGAATATTTGTAAAATATTTTGAATATTGATGAATTGAAGTCCCTGGACTGACATTAGACGGATAGATGTAGTAAACATTTCTATATCTTATATATACACAGTAGTCGTATTCCTTATTCATAAATCAGGACTAGGCAGTGGGCACTAGCCTAAATACGGTGAAATACAATTCACATATTTATGGAAAAAGAGACTAATCATTGTTTACATGACGTTCCGATTGTCATCTTGTCATCAAAATACAAGTCATTTTTATTTTAGGACAATTTTTCCAAACGTCCTAACGTTTGGCCGCCTGGCAAGAACTAGTCGCACCAATTGAATAGGTAACTGCGCTTGAGAAGATCTACCCTGGATGGTTTGAATGTCCGATAATAACTCACAAACTCTCGAACCGATTTGCATAATATTTTTAAATTAGGAAACTAGGTAGAACCACCGGAGCGTTTTTAGTCTGGTTTAAAAATTCTAAATTGAGTGGGTTGGCCTTTGAAGGGAAAATTTTGTTTCCAGACAACGCTGGATTTCCAAACTAGTAGTTTTAAAAGGGATGAAAGGACCCTAGCTGAATAAAATGCGGAGTAGTATGAGAAGAAAGATTTGAAGTATAAAGGGTAAATTCTCGGTGATTATTTAATATTTATTGTTGAATATAGAAGAGATATATCCCCTAGGTAACGCCTCCACACAACCCCATTAGTTTTCTTTGGTCTATAGCCCATGACCGGACACACCTCATTGAACCACCAGTTTTCTCTCTATATATATATTGTCTATCTATTTATCTATTATCTATTTTACTATTTATTTATTCGTTATTCATTATTCATTATTTTATCTATTTATCTATTTATCTATTTATCTATTATCTATTAACAATTTATTTATTTCTTAATTTATTCAAGCTTTTATCTATTTATTTATTCATTTATTAAATCATCTACTTTTTTCAGAAAGTAAAGGGAAACAGGAAAAATAGGAATTGTAGGAATTAAAGTGAAAACAGGAATTAAAGTACAGAAGGTGCGGGAAGTACATGAAGTACAGGAATTAC